AGCCATTACCTACTACTACAGCCTTTTATAGTTGTCAAGTTGATACCGGCAGAAGCCTCCACGATTTTTGACAAAAATAATAAAGTTTGCTGATAATAACGGTTTTTCAGGATTTTTTTGCAAGCATACAATACTCATGGTACGGGAAGTTTAAACGTATTGGAAGTTTCAACACAGGAACATCCCCTGGTAAAAAAGTTCAACCGTCGTTCTAAAAATGCTTAAGATTTTAAAAGATACGCTGAAATTGTTTTTGTACACTAGGTACGATTACAGTTACAACTGGAATTGGCAACAGTGGTTTTGAAATTTCCAAGTGTTATATTTGATTAATTTTCAAGAAAAAATTGTTCTGACAAATTCCATAACTTGCAGCATTTGATTTCGCAGTTTTCACGTTATGCACCTTGGTCAGACCTGGCAAAGAAAGCTGCAGTTTTCAAATAGACGATTACCGCCTAACGGTTACAGCAATAAAAACTGAAGACTCCAGACTGATTACAGTATATCCAGTTCGCACTATGACTGAAAGGAGAAGCAGTGGCATTGTGATAAAGTATTTATTTATTGCTACATTAGTTGTCGTAACAGCAAAACTAGTCTCATGAAAAAAACCTTGTTTCCAACGCAGGTTGTGCCCGTTTTTGAAGAAGAGATATCTACCCAGACGAAATAAAAATATAAAGCCAAGTTAGTGTTGCTGATGCTGATTGTAAGCACGAGTATCAAATGCTAAAAGCACTACTTCGCCTGTCACAATTTTTTTGGTTTTTACTGTTTGAATAAAAAGTCATTTGGTAAAACTGTTGCCTAAAAGACCAACTATCGTTTCCAGTAATAGCCTGCATGTTAGTTCCTCTTAGACTAGCTTTATCTATTTTCTTTTTGAAACTTTATACCGCAGTACACGACAGTCACCGGGATTATTGCCTCTTGAAATGATAATAGCGCGGTGACACGATGTGGTTGTCAACTCGAGTGAAATCTTCAGGTGAAGAAGAAAGTTGGAGTGTTTTTTTGGCCGAGGGATTGCACTTATTACTGATGTGCCTCTCCTATGATTTGAAATTAGAATAACCTTCTTTATTCTTAGCGTTTAACTATTCAAAAAATTTACATTATACATTTGTAAGTGCTAAATGAATATGTTTGTTAAGCGTGTTAGTCTCTGTTACAGTGAACAAAAAGCAGAGGCCAACGAAGCAACTACGGTACCAGATTCTTCCCATTATCCAATGAAATTATTTCGGTTATTTCAGCACTAAAAGTGACTTAAGATTGGCATGATCAAAATAAATTTTTTTTTTGAAGGAGCGAAAAGAATAACCACCTTATCGTGCTACACTGTACCTTAAATTTTTGATAAAGCTTATATTCTTTGTTATAAATTTCTATTTTGTCTAAGCAGATATCTTTGGATTACAATTATTATTGATGTCGGTCAAAAGCACGTGTCACCAAATAAGTGCCAGTAATAACAATATGTAAAAAACAGGGCTCTAACAGAAATATGCGACGAATAAGAGGCGATACCAAAATGTACAACAAAGTATAACACAAAAATGAACAAGAGCCAGTCGGTCCACCTCAACAAAATTGTCAAAAGTTACAATATAAGAGAGCAAATATGACAAAATGCTTTGATGTTTCTGTTTTATACATAAAACTGAAGTGACTTAGTGGTGAACCAACGTTGTCACAAAAAGAAAAACAGAAAGAAGTGAAAATAAAACCGTGAGATTCATTTATGAGAAAAACCTCAAAATTTGTTTTTGAATACATTAATAAGAAAGAAAGACAATAGAGATATTCAGATATGAAATAATTTACAAGACCTTTTCTCTTTGTACTACAATATTCTCTATTAGTTCATGCGGCAAGGGCGGTCTTGGTGCATCCATCAAAAATGGTCATTCAAAATTTCTTCTAATGTTGGCCTCTCGGCTGGATCTAGCGTAAAGCACCGCAAGGATAATCTCTGAGCACCTGCAAGTGATATTGCTAGGAAATGTTGAAATTCTAATAGCATTTGATCAGTTCATCACAAAACAGAGTTACTCCGTAAT